ACACACAGACAGACAGACAGCCAGCCAGCCAGCCAGCCAGGCAGACAGCCAGCCAGCCAGCCAGCCAGGCAGGCAGGCAGGCAGGCAGGCAGACAGACAGACGCACAGACAGACACGTAGAGACGGGCACCCACACACACAGAGACACACTTGGTTATTAGGCATCCATCACGCACAAACAGAAACACACACACACACAGAGAGACGCTTACATTTAGGCGTATTTGGAATCGAGGAATCGTAAAAATTTCCGGGATTTTTTGCGTTCGGGGATTCGTGCAAAACCCGGCAATTTTACATGCAGAAAGGCAAAAATCCTGGATATTTTCTGGAATCCCCACTGTTGCGTCCATGCAAGGCCACAAGGCCGGCAAAAGGAGGCAAAACAGCCAAGCAGGTGCCGGGCTCCCAACTTTTTTATTGGGGTATTTCCAAATCTTTTTTATTGGGGTATTTCCAAATTCATAATATATTCTTGCTAATTCATCCTAATACCAATAATATAATCAATTTTAAGAAATCGTAATTACATAGTAGTATTTCTTCGTTATAAATTATCACCTTAGTAAAATTCGAGTCTGTCGTTCTATATATTACTTATAGAAGTGAAAGGTATAATTATTCTAGTTCATATCAAGATCATCCAAAAATAAAATACTTTTGATAAGAATCCATATCATTGCATAATTTAGAGAGATATAAAATGAGCACAATATCAGAACGGAAAAATCTCGTTGGTAAAATATCGTCGAATAAGGGAATCTATATAGAGCTCCGTCTTGGTAGAAGCTCAAAATCTGATTTTGCTCGTTCATGCGCGACTCACTTTGACCCAACATCAGGCATGGGCACCTCAGCCGGTAAGCATCACAGTCTCTCTCGTCAATGCAGACCCTCCAACTACTTCAGGAGTCGGCATGGTGAGTCAAGGGTGGAGTCAGTGGCTTCATCAATGGGTAGTAGGTGCTTCCTGGCAGATGATGCGACAACGCTGGAATGAGTAAAACATCCTGAAGCACGACGGGTTCACGCGGGACATACATGTCTTCTGGTCGCCTGGAGGCTTCAGAGCCAGGTAACACACTTACACCGTTACACACAACCTCATCACAGGAAAAAACGAAACCTCAGCCAACTCAGTTCCTGGCTCTATTCGCACTGTCAGTTGCCTGCAGCAGGCATGGTCGCCAATCGCAGTGCCACCGGAGTATTATCGGTGCAACGTGGCTTTTGGCTGCTCTTCTTCCACGCATGGAGTTGGGCGATGCGGCTTGCAAAGGCTCAGCGTCCTCACGCGGCTGCGTCGCTCACGAAGGTCTAAATACGGCTCCACAAAGCGATGCATTGCTGACAGCTTCCCACATACGAGCCTTTGCCCGCGAGCGCCCTCGAAGCCTGCTTCCAGTGGTCTGGCTCCTCACATCCGCTCCCCAGGCAGGCGCAAGCTTCGTCTGACCCTCTAGTTGCACTGCATACAGAAGTTCGGTCCCAATCTCGATACATTGCCTCGCCCGCTCATTGTACGGATCTGTCGGGCTTAATCTGGGAAATACAAGTTGTCTTGAATCTGACAGGCTTGCTTATCCAATTGCGGATTTGGTGCTTTGTCCGGCCCGAACAGATGATATCTGCGGGCAGGGTTTGTTTGGATTGTGTGCGCTTGCTCTCTGCATGGGTCGGACATAGTTCACGGGCTGCAAGCTTGCATCGTAGGCCCTCTTGCTAGGCGAACCCTCTTGCCCCATCCTGCTTGACGTATCCCCTTACATCGGTCAACATCTGCAGTTTTAAACATTACCTGAACAATATCCTGGACAGGAACATCATAAGCGCGTCCTCTGCGATGAAGCTCACAAGGACGGATGCCTGCAAAAGGAATCAAGAAACGCAACCAACCGCCAGCCGATCCGAGACGTGAAAAATGTTGAACAACTTCGTGATACCACGGGGCGCAGACCTTACCACTTTTGTTTGCCATCTTCTCTTCGGCTTTTCGAACAGCCTGAGCAGAGCAGAATGCGGGCAGGGTTGTGCAAAAACCGTGACAAACACCGCCAGACCCAAGAGATCCTCGGCAGCTTTGCCAATGTCATCTTCTGGCACAGGCTTGCCATCTACCTGCCGGTATGTATGTGAAGTCTGCAGAACAAGGTCGGGTAGGATTCAGCAGGGGTTTCAATGCAGCATTTGGCTGGCGAGTGCCTCTAGTACTCTCCAGCCGATCTGAACACCTGCTGGTATGGCAGCACCTGGAGAGCGGCACGATTGCACAGACACCCTGCTTGAGACTCGTATGTTTCTGGAAGGCCTCCGTCCGCAAGGTCCACGACCAGCGCGCCATCTAGCCTCGTTGCTGTCGCGAGAGTTCGGCGTTACGTTCCTTACCTTCAACTTTTTAATATGGTCACATTCGCAATCAGACCCACTAATTCTGCTTGCTGCCACTAGTCTTGGCCGGTATCACGACATGTGTTGCATTTGCATATCGCAATATTATGCACCTTGATCACACGATTAGTCATGGCACTAGTCTCAAGTTGTTGAATACAGTAGTAGTCGTCGTCCTCCCCGTCGTAGTAGTAGTAGTAGCAGTAGTAGTAGCAGCAGCAGCAGCAGTAGCAGTGGCAACGTAGCCGTAGCCGCGGCCGCAGCCGTGGCTGGCCGTGGCTGGCCGTGCCCGCTGCAGTAGCAGCAGCAGCAACAGGAGTCGTGGCGGTAGCAGTACTAGTCGTAGTAGCAGTAGTAGCAGTA